GTATAGGTTCTCCTGCTTGAGCAAGGTTGGCCTAGAAGACCCCCAAAGTCCCTTCCAGCCTTGTTCTGTTCTGTTGTGTTGCATACTGATTGTATTCACACAACACATGTAGCTTGATCATGTACAGATCAAGTGACTGCATTTGCAAAATATGAATTTTGGTTAGTTATATACTGAGTGTGTGGAGCTTAAAACCCAAACATTTCACACATGCGGGCTTTGGTGCATTGTGTGAACCCAGAAGAGGGTAATTTATTAGCTAGGTTTTGCTTATTGCAAAATTGCATAAATACAGATGGGCAGAGGGTATGCTGTCCTTCAACAACTCAATTAGCTATTCTCCAAAGCACTTGAAGGCAGGACAAGAAACAACGAATGGAAACTAAGCAAGGAGAGAAGCAACCCTGAACCAAGGAGAAATTTCTTGATAGTGAGAACATTAACCAGCGGAATGGCTTGTCTCCAGAAGTTGTGGGTGCTCCATCATTGGAGGCTTTTAAGAAGAGAGTGGACAGCCACTTGTCTGGAATGGTATAAGAGCTCCTGCTTGATCAGGCGGTTGGACAGGAAGACCTCCAAGGTCCCTTCTATTATTCTGTTATTTCCAAACGATATTATAGGAATCCACCAGCCAGCTTTTTTTGTTTTGTTTTGCCAATTGAGATGTCTCCTGCAATGCCGAAGAGCGTAGCTTAGTGGATTTCCTTAGTACGGTAACATAAATTTTAGAAGAATCTTATTGATTTTACTAGATTTAGAAGCCCCCACTGAGAGTCAGATTGGCCTAGTTGTTAAGGCACCAAGCTAGAAACCCAGGAGACGGTGAGCTCTAGTCCCACCTTAGTCATGAAGCCAGTTGGGTGGGCCGGTCACTCTCTTTCTCTCTGCCCTAGGACAGAAGCAAGGGCAAATTGCTTCCAAAATCATGCTGAGAAAACTGCAGAGACTATGCCAGTCACTCAACAACTGACTCAATGGGATCAAAAGAAGGGGGATTAACAGCAGTGAGTGATGGGGCATATGGGATGAGGCCAGGATTGCTACTTCTTAGGCAAGAAAAACCAAAACTACACATATAGACTGGGTGAAACCAGGCTTAATAGCAGTAACTGTGAGAGGGATCCTGGAATCTTAGTGGACAACCAGCTAAATATGAGCCAGCAGTGTGCGGCGGCAGCCAAAAAATTCAATGCAGTCCTAAAATGCATTAACAGATGGATACCATCAAGATCAAGTGAGGCACTAATACTACTCTATAAAGCCTTAATAAGACCACCCCTAGAATGCTGTATCCAATTTTGATCACCACACTATAAAAAAAGATGTTGAGACTCTAGAAAAAGTGCAAAGAAGAGAAACCAGGATGATTAGGGGACTGGAGGCTAAAACATTCGATGAACGGTTGCAGGAATTGGGCATGGCTAGTCTAGTGAAGAGAAGGACCAGGGAAGACATGATAGCAGTGTTCCAATATTTGAGGGGCTGCCACAGAGAGGAGGGGGTCCAGCTATTCTCCAAGGCAGCCGAAGGCCAGACAAGGAATAATGGATGGAAACTAATCAAGGAGAGATTTAACCTGGAAATAAGGAAGAATTTCCTGACAGTGAGAACAATCAATCCATGGAACAGAAGTTGCCTTTGGAAGTTGTGAGAGCTTCATCACTGGAAGCTTTCAAGAAGAGACTGGGCTGCCATCTGTCAGAAATGGTGTAGGGTCTCCTTCTGCTTGGGCAGGGGGTTGGACTAGATGACCTACAAAGTCCCTTCCAATTCTGTTAGAATAGAATAGAATAACAGAGTTGGAAGGGACCTTGGAGGTCTTCTAGTCCAACCCCCTGCCCAGGCAGGAAACCCTACACCACTTCAGACAAATGGTTATCCAACATCTTCTTAAAAATTTCCAGTGTTGGGGAATTCACAACGTCTGCAGGGAATTGTTCCACTTATTAATTGTTCTGTCAGGAAATTTCTCCTTAGTTCTAAATTGCTTCTCTCCTTGATTAGTTTCCACCCATTGCTTCTTGTCCTGTCTTCAGGTGCTTTGAATAATAGTTTGACTCCCTCTTCTTTGTGGCAACCCCTGAGATATTGGAACACTGCTATCATATCTCCCCTACTCCTTCTCTTCATCAAACCAGACATACCCAGTTCCTGCAACCGTTCTTCCTATGTTTTAGCCTCCAGTCCCCTAATCATCTTTGTTGATCTTCTCTGCACTTTCTAGAGTCTCAACATCTTTTTTTCATCGTGGTGACCAAAACTGAATGCAATATTCCAATTGTGGCCTTACCAAGGCATTATAAAGTGGTATTAACACTTCACGTGATCTTGATTCTATTCCTCTGTTTATGCAGCCCAGAACTGTGTTGGCTTTTTTGGCAGCTGTTGCACACTGCTGGCTCATATTTAAATGGTTGTCCACTAGGACTCCAAGATCCCTCTTACAGTTACTACTATTGAGCAAGGTACCACATATACGGTACCTGTGGCGTTTTGTTTTTCTTCCCTAAATGTAGAACCTTGCTTTTTTCATTGTTGAATTTCATTTTGTTAGATAGCGCCCAATGTTCAAGTTTGTCAAGATCCTTCTGTATCTTGAGTCTATCTTCTGGAGTATTAGCTATTCCTGCCAGCTTGGTGTCATCTGCAAATTTGATGAGTTCCCCATCCAAGTCATTGATGAAGATGTTGAAGAGCACTGGGCCTAAAACAGAGCCCTGGGGTACTCCACTGCATACTTCCCTCCATGTAGATGCAGTTCCATTGAGGACTACACGTTGAGTGCAGTTGGTCAGCCAGTTACGAATCCATCTGGTGGTGATGCTGTCTAACCCACATTTTTCTACTTTATTTAGTAGTAGGTTATGGTCTACTTTATCAAATGCTTTACTAAAGTCCAAGTAAATTATATCGACAGCATTCCTCTGGTCCACTAATTTTGTCACTTTGTCAAAGAATGCAATAAGATTAGATCTGTTTTTGACAAACCCATGTTGGCTTTTGGTTATTACTTGGTTTGCTTCTAGGTGTTCAGTGATTCGTTGTTTGATTATCTTTTCCAGAACATTCCCTGGTATTGAGGTCAGGCGGATAGGTCTGTAGTTTCCTGGATCTATTTTTTTTTCCTTTTTTGAAGATGGGAACTACATCAGCTCTTTTCCAGTCCTCTGGCAGTTCCCGTGATCCAGGATCTTTGAAAAATATAGTTCAGTGGTTTTGAGATCTTGTCTGCCAGTTCCTTCAGAACCTTGGGGTGTAATCCATCCGGTCCTGGTGATTTGAACTCATCTAGGGTAGACAGGTGTTAATTTACCATTTTCTTCCTTATTTTAACTTGTGTTCCTAATCTGTTTTTTATGGTGCTGTTTTTGATAGGTTGGACTGTTTTTTCCTTTTGTGTAGACAGATGCAAAAAATGAGTTAAGTAGTTCTACTTTCTCCCTTCTTGCCACTTTCAACTTCTTGCCACTTTCTCCCAGCAATGGGCCAATTGTTTCCTTGACTTTTTTTTTGTTTTTAATATGTTGGAAGAAGTTTTTTTTTGTTATTTTTTACTTTAGTCGCAAGCCTTTGTTCATTGTGAGCCTTAGCTTTCCTCACTTCATCTTTACAGGCTCAAGCTATTTGCTGATATTCTGCCTTAGTTATTTGCCCCCCTTTCCACTTTTTATACTAGTCCTTTTTGTCTTTCAATTTGTTAGAGAGTTCTTTATGAAGCCATGCTGGATTCTTTTGAGATCTATTATTTTTCTTCTTCATTGGTATTGTGCTAGACTGGGCTTTTATCATCTCACTTTTCAAAATTTCCCAAGCTTCTTAAGTTGTTTTCCCCTTGAGGATTCTCATCCATGGAATCCTTCTCAAGCTCTCTCTAAATTTATTGAAGTTAGCTCTCTTAAAGTCCAAGACTCTAGTTTGACTTTGTTCTACTACCTGTGTTTACATAATGTTGAATTCCAATACTGCGTGATCATTTGTCCCCAAAGTTCCTGTAGCTTCAACACCGTCTATCATTTCATCTCTGTTAGTGAGAATTAAGTCCAATATAGCTGATCCCCTTGTTCCCTTCTCTACTTTTTGGGAAACAAAGTTGTCTGCTAGGTTTGTTAGGAGCCTGTTGGATCTTCCACTTGGTGCAGAGTTTGTCTCCCAGTTGATGTCAGGGTAGTTAAAATCCCCCATTACTATTGTGATGTGCTTCTTACATACCTTAGTTAGCTGACTAGCAAAAAGTTCATCTACTTCCTCTGTTTGGTTGGGTGGCCAAAATCTGTTCTTCCATGGATGAGATCCTTAGATTATTGCACTAGCTTAAATTTACAGAGAGGAAAGGAAAGATGAGCAAAAGTATGAAAATACAACTTGCTTAATTTGGGCCAAGTTGCAGCAGAGGAAACATTCACGTTTAGCCTTCCCAACTTGAATAATTTCAGGGCATCTCTGTTGACGGAGTACTTTCTCCAGATCCTTGTGCTAGATTCTGCCCACTCACCCATCAACACTCCCCCTCCCCACAAACACCGCAGATAGGACCTTGGGACATTTGGAAATGTTTGATCCAACAGCATTTCCTTTTGACTATTCCAGCTGGAAAAACCCTGCTCTGGAGTGACATGATCTGAAAATGGCTCTATGGAATGAACACCGAATTAGCAAAATGAGGAATCAAACAAAAGGCCCTTTAAGTGGACCCTGGCATGGGAGGAGGGGGCTGGGGGAAGGAGGAGGAGGAGACCACCCTTCATTTTTAATGTAAAAATAACCCCTCACAAACAGGACTATTAAGGAGAATGTCTTCGTGGATTTAATTCTCTTGAAGTTGGAAGTTGCGTGGATCAGAAGTCACTGGCCAATTAATTGCCATCCATTCTTCTTCATTCCTGTAGATAGAATTTCCTGCCTGCAATTTCAATGAAGCAATGAAGACAAATAGCTTTAATTAGATGTCTTACAGAGCTGACCTTCTCGCTTGTTTTCAGTTTAATAAAGTTTACGGTGTATTAATCAGAAGGAAATTTTATTAGAAAAGAATAACTTTTTTTTTTCATGGGAAACAGGTTTTCTGGATAGGAAGATTTTACGTGGGATTGGTCCTTGTGTTCTATTAATCCCCTTGTAAGGAGAACCAGATACCCCATTAGATCTACAAATACATAATAGGTAGAATGTATATAGTTCTTGGGACAAATTCCTTCTAATTTTGACTACTGGTGGGCAGTAAGTTAAAAGTACAAGGTTTTTAAAAAGCATTTTCTGTGAATTTGAACTCTGGACATTAAGAGGGTGTATTTTATTTTAATGCTGCCTGTTCTTGAATGAATAATTTTTTTAAAAAGTTGGTTTGTCTTAAGTTTCCCAAGAATTGGTCTTGTATTATGCTCAAATATAAGCAGATGCCAAATAAAAATATTAACAAATTCCCCCAGTGGGTTGTGGGCAAAACGTACTCACAAACCAAACATTCATTGGTCAACCAGCAGCCCTCAACTGGAGTTTAAGTTGCCTTTTGCAAGGGATCGATTCAGGATTTTGGTGGGAGCTGCCTCGCTTCCCCAGAGGCTGTTCTGGAGAAAGAGAGGAAAGGTATCAAGAGGGAAAAAATAAGAGAAGGAAAGGAGGGGGCAGAGAAGAAATATTTCCTCACCCTCCTAATAGTAATTACTGTCCTACTGATATAATAACCAAACCAACACTAGGTGGCGCTCAAGGACCTAAAAATGAAATTAAAGTCTACCTTAACAGGATTTTTAAATTTCTCTTGTCACTGTGTGCAAAGTAGCTTGGCCAAAATCCCTGAGCAACACCTCACTAGACCTTTAGCGCAACCCCGTGAAATCTCATGAGGTTTTAGCTTTTTTTGCATTGAATTTCAATTTTGCATCTACGACTTTGTATGAAGGGTTTGATGATGGCTTTTCACTGACCTACTGAAGCTGACTTCAGGCAGAAACCTGTTGAACCAACGGCCTTGGGGATCCCTGAAGCCAGGTTTCTGCAACCTAATTTTTATAAGGTGGGGGGGGGGGCAGGATCTCATTCTTCCAAAAGTTGGTAAGAGGGGAATAAGTTGTTGGGTCTTGGACAGCACTTACTTTCATTTAAACGGTACGTCTAAGATGACAATTTCAGTGTGTAATTTACCCCAGCTCTCAAATGAAACATTCAACCGCCCTAGACAGATGTCAGATTAATTCCATGCCTTTTTAAAGAAAAATCCTCCATCTTCTGAACGACCCGCTCTCCCTCTCATCACAAAGGTTACCTCCCTTTATCTTGCTAATTTTGCTAACATTCAGGGCTTGTTGACACATCTAGTTATTGCATTTTGTGTGTCTACACCTGGTTGATCTTTGGAAAGGTGGTCCCTTCTGTTAGGCTAATCCAGAAGGTAGGACCATGAAGGTGAACCTATGGCATGCGTGCCACAGGTAGCACATGTAGCCATATCGGTCAGCACGCAAGCTCAGCTCCGGCACACCAGTTGATTTTCGGGTCTTCTGGGCCCACCAGAAGTAGGGAAACAGGCTGTTTCCTGCCTCTGGAGGACCTCTGGGGGTGGTGTGAAAGGCCCATTTTTCTCTCTCTGCAGCCTCCAGAGCCTTTCTAGGAGCCTGGGGAGGGCAAAAACGGCCTTCACCCTCCGGAGGCCGAAAATGGCCCGTTTGCCAACTTCCGGTCCCACCTACCCTCCCACCCGCCCACTCCTGGCACGCAATGGCAAAAAGGTTAGCCATCAATGGGGTAGGAGATGCTGGAACCTACTCATGGACACAATTTTCAATTTTTTCCATTCATTTCCAAGTAATGCTCTGAGCATTCATTTTGGCCTCAACTCCCCTAAAGGTAGAAAAGAAACCCCAATGTTTTTATCCCTGGCCTGGTGGGCTTTAGAGAGTGCTGGGGATTGCCCTGCTGTGAAGTATCGAGAACAGAGAAGAGAATTCACACAACCCAAAGGAGGAAGCCGAAGACAAAATGTGTGTGTGTGTGTGTGTGTTATTCTGGATCTCCAGCGGGGTTGGCTCAATTCTGCTTTGGGTCCGGCCAGTTTCGAGCCTTGAAAAACTTCTTCAGTCCTTTAAGGTTGACGGGTGGGAAGTAAGGTCCAAGCCTCTTACGGATCCACCATTTCTGCTGCCGGGCGTGCTGTCCACCTGGCCGGCTGAACTTGTACCTGAAATGCTCTCCCCGAACCCACCTGCAAGAAGCAGAGACGTTGCAATGAGAACCACAGTCTGCTCCTCTCCCGCCATAAGAGTAACAGAGATGGAAGGGACCTTGGAGGTCATCTAGTCCAACCCCCTCTGCTCACGCAGGAGACCTATACGAGGGATTCGAACCACCAACCTTTCTGATTGACAAGCTCAGCGTCTTAGCCACTGAGCCACTTAGGGAGTTCCTCCTTCAGCAAAACACAGCAAACTCTATTTTCTCCAGCAATTGGTGCCAAACAGGGCAAGACATACCGGGCTCTCTGCTTTTACAGGATCGGTCCTTGGAGGAACAATTCAACCTGCCCTGCCCCGTAGATCATCTTCTTTTAATGACCCCATAATCCCTTGCAGGGTGGAGTCTGGGCAACTGAATGGAGCTAACAGAATGTTTACTGGCCGTATGCCCTTCCTGTCGCCAATGCAGAGTTTTGTTCAGCAGATATATTCTCATTTTGCCCAGAGAGAGAAATAGCTGCCTCTTCCTAGGATTTTTTTTAAGTTTTTTATTTTTTCCCCTCATAACTATATCTTAAATGTAATTTCTTATCTAACATACATATTTTCTTTTAACTTTCATACTAATAAAATCTTCATCCTAAAACAATTTAAGTATATTCGGGGTTGCTTTTCTACCATTTCATCTCCCTTGTTTTACAACAATTCTTCTTCTCCCTCTCCTCTCTTTCCTTTCCCTCCCTTCTTCCATCTACTCTTCTACTTTCTTCTTTCCTCCTCTCCTTCTCCTCCTCTCCTTCCCCTTCCTTTCCCCCACACCTTCCTCCCTTCTAACCTTCTTTCCTACTCTTGTTTCCCCTCTCTTTCTTCCTCTCCTTTTCCCTTTCTTCTTTCCCTCTCTCTCCTTCCTCTCTCCTCTCCTCTATCCCTTTCCATTCTCTCTTCATTGTTGCATTCATTTTCAATTTAGTATTTTTCAAAGTGGTATTCAAGCAGTCCCGATTTTTACTTTCTTTTCAATTACTTTTTCATTTTACTAAATTCACACATATCATCATAAATGTACATTTATATAATAACATGTTCTTTCTTTTTCCACCCCCCTTTTCCATTTTCCATTTACACAGGTGTCTTCTGGGTTTCTATTTCTTTTTTGTCTTCTCTCTCATTTACTTATACCTTATCTAATTTATTTCTCTATAATCTTTTATTCATATTTCTTTTCTAACCATTCATAAAACCATCCCCATGTCTTGAAATACACTGATTCCTCTTTATCTTTTATTCTCAATGTTAACCTATTCATTTCTGCATATTCTAAAATTTTCTTTATTACCTCCCCTTCTGATGGGATTTTTTCTGTCTTCCACTTTTGTAAAAATACAATTCTTGCCGCTGTTATTATATAAATAATCAAATATGTATCTTCCTTGCTATATTTCTCCGGTAATATACCCAATAAAAATGCCTCTGATTTTAACTCTATACCCGTGATGGCGAACCTCTGGCACGCAGAGCCATATTGGTGGGCACACGAGCGTTGTGCTAGCTCAGCTCCAGTGCGCATGTGCGCGCCGGCTAGCTGATTTTGGGGCCTTCCGGTCCCAATGGAAGTCAGAAAACGGGCTGCTTCCGACCTCCAGAGGGCCTCCAGGGGGGTGGGGAAGGCCGTTTTCGCCCTCCCCAGGCTCTTAGAAAGCCTCTGGAGCCTGTGGAGAGCAAAAAACGGGCCTACTGGGCCCACCGTGCCATTGCATGCCAAAAGCGGGGTGGGAGGGGGTGGGGTGGGGTTTCGTGCATGCATGCATGGGGGCGGGCTGGGGCACATTGAATTATGGATTTGGGTATGCATGCACGCAACCCCCCCCCAACACTCTCCCTGCTTTGGGCACGCGACAGCAAAAAGGTTAGCCATCACTACTCTATACGTTAGTGCAACATTTCCTCTAACCATGCCTGTATTCTAATCCAATAATTGCCTTTTCCTAGGATTGAACTCACAGCCTCCTGATTGTGTGGCGAGAGCTCCACCTCTAGGCTACCGCACCACTCGACCTGTCCCATAGATGGTGGGGGCAAATTAGAGATAATGCAGGTAGTTCTTGAATTATGAAAAGTTTGTTTAGTGACTGCTCAAAGTTACAACAACACTAAAACAGTGAGTTATGACCACTTTTCACGCTTATGACTGTTGCAACATCCCCATGAAAATTGTGATCAAATTCAGACGCTTGGCAACTGACTCATATTTATGACAGTTGCAGTGTCGTCCCCCTTTTGCATCTCTGACAAGCAAAGTCCACAGGGAAGCCAGTTTCACTTAACAACCATGCTACTAATTTAACAACTGTAGTGACTCACTTAACAACTGTGGCAAGAAAGGTAATAAAATGGTGCAAAACTCACTTAACAACAGAAATTTTGGGCTCAATTATGGTCATAGGTTGAGAACTTCAACTACCTGTATTGTGACTTTTTTTTTTTTTTTTTACTTCTGTGGACATCTCTGGAGAAAATATAGAAATAGGATAGGATAGGATAGACGAGAAGAGAGTAGAGTAGAATAGAATTGGAATAGAATAGGAAGGGACCTTGGAGGTCTTCTAGTCCAGCCCCCTGCTCAAGCAGGAAAACCTATATTATTTCAGACAAGTGATTGTCTAGACTCTTCTTAAAAACCTCCAGTGATGGAGTGCTCACAATTTCTGGAGGCCAGCTGTTCCACTGGTTAATTGTCCTCACTGTTAGGAAGTTTCTCCTTAATTCCAGGTTGCTTCTCTCCTTGATTGGTTTCCAACCATTGTTTCTTGTTTTGCCTTCTGGTGCTTTGGAGAATAATTTGACCCCCTCTTCTTTGTGGCAGCCCCTCAAATACTGGAATACTGCTTTCATGTCGCCCCTAATTCTTCTTTTCTTTAGATTAGCCAAACCCAAATCCTGTAACTGTTCTTCATATGGTTTAGTCTCCAGGCCTTTGATCCTCTTAGTTGCTCTTCTCTGAACTTTTTCCAAAGTCTCAACATCTTTTTTGTAGTATGGTGACCAAAATTGGTTGCAGTATTCCAGGTGTGGCCTTACTAAGGTTTTATAAAGCGGCACTAATACTTCACATGATTGTGATTCTATGCCTCTGTTTATACAGCCCAGGATTGTATTAGCTTTTTTGGTGGCTGCTCCACACCGCTGGCTCATATTCAAGTGATCATCCCCTAGGACTCCAATGTCCCTCTCACAGTTACTGTTTTTGAGCCAGGTCTCACCCAATCTGAAAGAAGGAGGAGGAGGAGGAGGAGGAGGAAGAGGAAGAAGAATCAGGAGGTTGTGAGTTCGATCCTAGGTACAGGCAGATGTAGGGTCTCCTGCTTGGGCAGGGGGTTGAACTAGATGACCAGCAAGGTCCCTTCCAACTGTTAATCTGTATCTGGAAGAAGAAGGAGGAGAAGGAGGAAAAGGAAAAGGAAAAAAGGGAGAAGGAGAAGGAGAAGGAAAAGGAAAAGAAGGAAAAGAAAAAGAAAAAGGAAAAGGAAAAGAAGGAAAAGGAAAAGAAGGAAAAGAAAAAGGAAAAGAAGGAAAAGGAGAAGGAAAAGAAGGAAAAGGAAAAGGAAAAAAGGGAGAAGGAGAAGGAAAAGGAAAAGAAGGAAAAGGAAAAGGAAAAGGAAAAGGAAAAGGAAAAGGAAAAGAAGGAAAAGGAAAAGGAAAAGAAAAAAAGGGAGAAGGAGAAGGAGAAGGAAAAGGAAAAGAAGGAAAAGAAAAAGGAAAAGGAAAAGGAAAAGGAAAAGAAGGAAAAGGAAAAGGAAAAGAAGGAAAAGGAAAAGAAAAAGAAGGAAAAGGAAAAGGAAAAGAAGGAAAAGGAAAAGGAAAAAAGGGAGAAGGAGAAGGAGAAGGAAAAGGAAAAGAAGGAAAAGGAAAAGGAAAAGGAAAAGGAAAAGAAAAGGAAAAGGAAAAGAAGGAAAAGAAAAAGAAAAAGAAGGAAAAGGAAAAGGAAAAGAAGGAAAAGGAAAAGAAAAAAGGGAGAAGGAAAAGGAAAAGGGAAAGGGAAAGGAAAGGTATCGTTCCCCATGGAGCCTGCTTTTGCAGCCTCCTGAATCCTTTCTGTCATGGAGGAGCAGGTTCGCTTTCTCGCTGCCAAAACCGTCTATTCTCTCAGCCTGGACATTCCCGCGCTTCCTCCTCCAGGCTGGGACAGCTGCACTGCAAAGATGCCCCCTGCCCCCAGGCGTCAGCCCACAGTGACATCTTCCAACTGGGAAGGCTTGCAAAGAGGCAACATCTCTAAGCTGTTGTGGCTGGAGGCTAAACCTTCCAGACAGGTGAAAACGGTGGTGGAGGCAGGCAGCTGTCTCTCTCTCTCTCTCTCTGGAACAGTTGGGATGTTTTTGGAGGGAAAAGGCAAGCATGCACGCACACACACAGACACACACAGACACGGAAGGATTGGGAGACAAGCAGGGTGGGTAAAATGTTTCCCTACGAGTTGGGACTTTTATGATGAAATAACAGTAGGAGAGGGAGTGTGAGCCAAGGAAGCAGGGGTGAAATGCTGCCAGTTCGGATCGGTTCGGAGAACCGGAAGCGACGACAGCGCGGTGCTCCACCCACCTGCCCGGTCATCGTTACTTCCTGGTTTTAACGAGGAAGTAACCTGTTTTTTACCCTCTGCGCATGCACAGAAGGATTTGCACATGCGCAGTGGGTTTGGGCACTCATGTGACGTGCGCGGCACATGCACTTCCGAACCGGTAGGGAAGGTAAATAGATTTCACCCCTGCTAGGAAGCCTCTGCCATTGTCAAGAAGGATCAAGCTGCACAAGGCAATTTGTAGTTGGTGACACATACAACATGCTAAACCCGAAACGAGGCAGCATCTCTTTTTCCGTGTGTTAGAATCGGTTCTTTGACTCTTGCAGCTGCCTGGACAAGTTCCTGCAATGTTCTTGGCAAGATTTCAGAAGTGCTTTGTCGCCATCTCCTAGGGCTGAGAGAAAGCGGCTGGCCCAAGGTCACCTAACTGGGTGTGATGCCTCAAGAGGAACTAGAACTCCCAGTCTCCTGTTTCTAGTAGTCTGAGGCCTGAACCACTAGACCAAACTGGTCCTCTAAATGGGAGTTTGCAAAGCATGGGGGGGCCCCGCATGAAGCCCAATAATCCATATCCTGATTTAACATAGTGGCCTTCACATGCCATGCTAGGAAAATGGTGGCTTCCAAGAACCCTGAGTTATTTAGTTGAGGATGAAGAAGGATTTGTGAAGAAGCAACGTCAAAAGTTGTGCAGTTTGTGCTACTATGAAAAAGAGACTCCTCCAACAAGTAGCCGACCCAACCGGTCCATGGGAAGAGATTGCCATGGATTTCATGGTGGAGCTTCCAGAAACGGCACTGAATCTTGTTTCTTCATCCTTGTTGTGGTCCGCCAGCAGCCTGCGGAGCTGGCAGCGGAGTCTGACAGTGAGGAGGCTGAGGAAGAACATGGGCCAGTCCTGGAGTCAGGGGAAGGCCCGGATGAGGGCTCTGCCTTGGAGGCAGAGATGAGGCCAGGGCCATCTGGGAGCGATGCACGGACTCCGGAGCCTCCAGAGGCGGACAGAAGAGGCAGAGGAACAGGAGGAGCCTGTTCCTAGTGCACGCATGCGCAGAGCTGCCAGAAGGCAAGAGCAGCTAAAGCAAAAGGGACAACTCGGGAGTAGGGCCAAGAGATGATTGGCCCCTCCCTTAAGGCTTAAAAGAGCAGCAACGAGTCGTTGGGTTCTTTGTAGAAAAGCAACGTTGATTCCAGTGCTATTTGTCAGTGTCTCTTGAACTTTGTGGGGTCTTTGTGGGATTTCTGCCAAGAAAATGGCAGAAGCAGAGGTGGAGAGCCTTGGTAGTACAGGGGTTTAAGGCACCCTGTTATTAAGCTTATTAAGACCAGCTGCCTGCAATTACTGCAGGGTTCGAATCTCGCCAAGGCTCAAGGTTGACTCAGCCTTCCATCCTTTCTAAGGTAGGTGAAATGAGGACCCAGTTTGTGGGGGCAATAAGCTGACTTTGTATAAATATACAAAAGGATGAAGGCTATTGCTGAGCACATTGTAAGCCGCCCTGAGTCTTCGGAGAAGGGCGGCATATAAATCAAATTAAAAAAAAAAAAAAAGCCTTCGGCAGGCTGCCAAAGACATCAAAGGTTGGTGATAAGGCTGATGGATTAGTTATTAAGAATTTTGTTTTGGACTAAGCTGAGAATGAATTCATTCTCAGCTGTTTTAATAAAATAAGTTTGTTGTGGACTGAATTGTGTTTGGTAATCACTACTTGGGCCTTGGTCACAACAACCCTCAAGGAGTTTCCCGTAGGCAGCAATTTCAATATCAAGAGCCGTCTTGAGAATTGACATGCCTCAATTCTTTGCATGCATTACTCAGAACCCTGACACACATCTCAACCAAATGGGCATGGAAGACTTCCAAGTGAAGGGCCCCCTTAGACCAGGGGTCCCCAACCCCTGGTCCATGGACTGGCAGTGGGCTGTGGCATGCCAGAAACCGGGCCATGCAAACAAGCGAAGCCCCATCCGTGGGATGCAGGCAGCGTGCGAAAGCACATCCCCTCCAGTGCGCAGAAAAAACTCTCTCCGTGTAATTGGTCCCTGGTGCCCAAAGGTTGGGGCCGCTGCCTTAGACAATTCCTCCAAGGCCTGGGAACAGACACTGCTGCACTGCAAGCTACATTTGGCAATGGTGGGGTGAGAAGCCAACCTGGGTTTTTTTTCCTAGTTGAAAATAGAATAGAATAGAATAGAATAGAATAGAATAGAATAGAATAGAATAGAATAGAATAGAATAGAATAGAATAGAATAGAATAGAATAGAACCGTGATGGTAACCTATGGCACGTGTGCCACAGGTGGCACACGGAGCCATTTCTGCGGGCATGCAAGCCGTCACCCTAGGTCGGTTGCAACACGCATGTGCCAGTTGCTTCCGGTTCTGTCCAGTTCTTTAAAACCGGTAGTAAAAATGGCGGGAGGCTCCGCTCACCCGCCCAGACATCATAATTGACGATCCCGTGTGCACTCACATTGTGAACTGGTAGTAAAGGTAAGTAGTAAGCCACCCCTGGCATGTGCGCACGCCTCCCACCGTTCAGCTGACTTTCGGGTCTCAGCCGCATATGTGGGAGACGCGCATGCATGCCCATGCCACCCCGCTCCTCCCAGGAGTCTCCATGTGGCCTGTTTTGGATGCCAGGTAAGTACAGGGCTCACATGGAGGCTCTGGGAGGGTGAAAAACAGGCCTCCTGGAAGTCCCAAAACAGACCGTTCCAAGCTTCCAGAGGGCCGGGGAAGGCTGTTTTCACCCTCCTGGAGGTTCCAGGAAAGCCTCCGGAGGGCGAAAAATGGGCCTCCCGAAAATACCGGAAGTCTGGAAACGGGCCATTTCCGGCTCCGGAGGGCCTGCAGAGGCCATTTTCGCCTTCCTGGAGGCTTCAGGGAGGCCTGCTAGGCCCAAAATGGGGTGCAGGGAGGGGGATCGTGACGCCTGCGCAGGCAGGAAGGGCAGCACGGGGGGGTTGCACATGCATGTGCAGGGGGCAGGGTGGGGAATGCAGGGAGGCATTTCATTATGGGTGTGGAAAAACACGTGCGCTTTTGGCACCTGAGGAAAAAAAGGTTAGCCATCACTGGAATAGAATATAGAATATAAAATAGAATTAGAATAAAATAGAAGAATAGAACAGAATAGAATAGAATAGAATAGAACAGAATAGAATAGAATAGGAGCTGGTAGGGACCTTGGAGGTCTTCTAGTCTAGCCCCCTGCTCAAGCAGGAGAACCTATATCATTTCAGACAAGTGACTCTCTAGTCTCTTCTTAAAAACACCCAATGATGGAGCGCCCAGGATTTCTGAAGATTTAATTGTCCTTTCACACTTGAGTAAAAGCTTACACCAACCATGCGGCTAAATCGCTTATTAATTCTTGCAGCCCAAGCCAGGCGTCTTTTAAGATTTATGAGGACTAAATGCTTTATGAAACCTTGAGCCAGACCTAAAGTTTTGTGCCCGGATGTTTTGCAAATGTCCCTTTGCCCAAGTCAAGTTTCACACTCAATTAGATTACTCCCACCCATGACCTCATGTTTTAACCTTTTTTCCTTTTTACAGAAGCGAGCCAGTCATCTGCTTTTCATTTTCTGTTTTACTGCACTTGCACGGCAGCAATAACCCACACCGCAATCTCATTTCATTTTTAAGTGTCCAAAGGATTCCAGTCAACTTTGCTCTCCAACTCTTTAATTCTTCTCAAGATTAACTGTCAGAGAACCCACACGAGCTTTATGAAACGCCAGGCCCAAGAGGGAAAAGTATTGGGGAACAAATTCGGTCCCGCAAACGTGATCCTTCCTTTGCAAGTCTTCATTTGGTGTGGGAACATGTGTGCATGTGTGTCTGTGAGGGAAAGAGGAAAAGCAGGAACTGGGCAGGGCTAGTCTAGTGAAGAGAAGGACCAGGGGAGACATGATAGCGCAGCAAACTAATAGCCTGTTATTAACATTCAGCTGCCTGCAATTACTGCAAGTTCGAATCTCACCAGGCTCAAGGTTGACTCAGCCTTCCATCCTTTCTAAGGTAGGTAAATTGAGGACCCAGTTTGTGGGGGCAATAAGATGATTTTGTATAAATATACAAAAGTATGAAGGCTATTGCTTAGCGCATTGTAAGCCGCCCTGAGTCTCCGGAGAAGGGCGGCATATAAATCAAATAAAAAAAAATAAATGATAGCATCTTCTAAAGTTTGAGAGGCTGCCACAGAGAGGAGGGGGTCAAGCTATTTTCCAAAGCACCTGAAGGCCAGACAAGGAATCATGGATGGAAGCTGAACAAGGAGAGTCTAGAATGAATGAAGTACTTTGAATTTTTGTTGGAAAAGTGAACAGCATGAAGGGAGATTTTGTTTGTTGAACATTTAAAAAAAAAACAACCCAGATTTTGGATACAAACACATACATTAATTTTGAAGATTTTAAAGGTTAAAGTACAACTGAGTACAACCAGAGCCTTTTCTTCTGGGATTAGTGGACAGACAATTAAAAAACAAGTCATGAAACTTTCTTTTTTCGTATAGCAACGGCAGTGCCACGATTATATGCTCAAATATGGAAAGGTTTGACAAGGCTCACAATGGAGGAATGGGTTGGTCAGGATGATGGAATTTGCGGAAATGGCTGAATTGACTTGTTTGATCGGGAAAAAAAGATATTTATTGCTGACTGGAAATCCCTTATAGGCTCTTTTTGCACAAAATGGGGAAAAAATGCACTTATGCTTTGTGGTTTCATGATTAGAAAAAGAAAAATAATAGAAAAGAATGAACTTTTTTGTAATCATAGATAAGAGAAATCTATTTATATTTGCTTCAAAGGAAACTGGAAGCTTCTCTTTCCATTTCTTTTTATTCTTTCTTTCTACACTTTTGCTTTTTCCTTTATTTTTTTTTTTTTTGCTTCTTTTACTCTTTATTAATAAACTTTTAGTAAACATTTATTTGTTTTTTTTTTAAAAAAGATGTCCCTTAAATTGGACTTACTTGGGTGGTGCCTTGTCCACAAATGGGTTGAAGGCCAGAAGAGACAAAGTTTCCTTCTCGTTGGCCAAGAGTTTCCCGGCTAAGTGAATGACCCATTCGTTCTGTTCATAGGTCTTATGGAGAAAGAGAGGGGAGAAAACACACATTTTGAGAAACAATGCAAATGAAATGGATTTTAAGCCAAACATGTCAACTGGAAGCGTCTGAATAATAAAAGATGAAAGCAATGTATTAATATATACAGAAAACAGCCCCCATCCTTCATGCGTTTATTAGAATTGGTGTTGTGACCCAGGTCCAAGTAGTTAATATTAAATACAAACAGTTTGAAAACAAACAGACTTTATTAGAACAGCTGAGAATTAACTCATTCTCAGTGTAGTCCAAACTAAATTAAAGCAAATTCTTCAAAACACCATTCCACAGTTTATCACCGACCTTGGGATAATTAGGCAAACTGCCAAAGGCTTCTCTTGGCAAAAGTTCAGAAGCAGAAGACGCCGACAAGAGATAAGTGCAGCAAGACAAGAACAAGTCTTTCAACGTTGTTTTCCGACAAAGAGCCCAAGAGCCGTTGCTGGTCTTTTAAGCCTTACGGGAGGGGCCAATCATCTCTTGGCCCTACTCCCGAGTCGTACTCTTTGCTGTAGCTGCTCCTGCCTTCTGGCAGCTCTTCTCATACGTGCACTAGGAACAGGCTCCTCCTGTTCCTCTGCCTCTCTACTGTCAGCCTCTGGAGGCTCCGGAATCCGCACATCACTCCCCGATGGCCCTGGCCCCATCTCGGCCTCCGACGCAGAGCCCTCATCTGGGCCTTCCCCAGCCTCCAGGACTGGCCCATGTTCTTCCTCGGCCTCATCGCTGTCCGACTCCACTGCCAGCTCCGCAGGCTGTGGGCGGACCACAACAGTTGGGAGCTATAAATTGATTATAGGTAGTCCTCGCCTTATGACCACAATTGACCCCAACATTTCTGTTGCTAAGTGAGATGTTTGTTAAGTGAATTTTGCCCCATTTTGCAATCTTTCTGGCCACAGTTGTTAAGTTAGTAACAGATTGTTAAGGGAATCTGGCTTCCCCCATTGACTTCGCTTGTCAGAAGGTCGCAAAAGGGACCCCAGGATATGACCCCAGTCATAAATATGAGTCAGTTGCCAAGCATCTGAATTTTGATTGCGTAGCCATGGGAATGCTGCAATGGTCGTAAGTGTGAGAAACTGTCATAAGTTGCTTTTTTCAGTGCCGTTGTAACTTTGAACGGTCACTAAATGAACGGTTGTAAGTTGAGGATTACCTATAGACAGGTTAGAACATATGTGTCAGCTAGAAAAACCTTCCCTACCTGGTGTCCTCAGAAGCATTAAAATGTTAATTTTACAACATAAACCGAGTTGAGCAACAGTGTTCCTTCGTATCAGTTCTACACTGAAAACAGAGCTATGATTTGGCAAGTAGAGTGTTGTCATAGTGTTGTAAGGATTGGTTGTAAGTCCTTCTCTACCATCCTCTGGAGTCCATTTAAGCTCACGCCGACTGTTTCAGTGACTCCATCCAGCCACCTCATTCTCTGCCGTCCCCTTCTTCTTTTGCCCTCCATTGTTCCCAGCATTAGGCTCTTCTCCAGTGAGTCCTTCCTTCTCATTAGGTGGCCAAAGTATTTGAGTTTCCTCTTCAGGATCTGGCCTTCTAAAGAGCAGTCAGGGTTGATCTCCTTTAGGACCGACCCTTTTGATCACCTTGCAGTCCAAGGGACTCTCAGGAATCTTCTCTAGCACCAGAGTTCAAAGGCTTCCGTTCTTTGGCGCTCAGCCTTTCTTATGGTCCCACTTTCACAGCTGTACATTGCAACTGGGAAAACCATAGCCTTGGCTATACGGTGATATATATACTGTATCTAATCTCCTAGGACGAGTGTAAGCAACCGATGCCTCCGGAGCCGCATGCGGCTCTTTGGCCCCTCTGCTGCGGCTCCCTGTCCCATCACTGGCTGGCCCCACCCCTCGCCCTCCCCTCCCAGTCACTCCTCGCCTGGCCTTGGAAATCCAAGAGATACAGAGAAGGGGGAGAGAGAGGTGGGAGATAGAGATATACAGAGAGAGGGGGAGAGGGGAAGATAGAGAGGGAGACAGAGAGAGAGAATAGAGAGGGTGGGAGAGAGAGACATAGAGAGATAGAGAGAGGGAGAGAGAGGAAGGGAGAAAACAATCGGTTCTCTGCCCTAATAACCGGCTAGGTAGGCGTGGCTAGGGGAGTAATGTGACTGGGTGGGAGTGAGTGACATGGAGTTGGCCACGCCCACCCAGGTTTTGTGGCTCCCGGTGTTTTTTTTTTTTCCTGTGGAAAACGGGTCCAAATGGCTCTTTGAGTGCTTAAGGTTGCAGTCCCCTGTCCTAGGAGAAAAATGAAATGTTGACCGTGTCGGTCAAACTCAAGCCCAGCCTCTGGAGTGGCATCTGGGCACCTTTCCCAATACCCTGAAGAGTGCGTTTCAAATGTTGCTTTCGCCACAGCTACAGAGGGATTGGCTTATAAGCAAAGCGCTTGTAAATATTTACTCAATTGGTTTTTAAAGAGAACTTGCTTTCAGAATTTATTCCCAAACAGAAGAGAAATTGAGAAAGAATTGAGCAGGGGGTTGGACTGGGAGACCTCCAAGGTCCCTTCCAGTTCTTTTCTGATTGATTGACTGATTGATGGATTGAAATTCAGAGAAATTCTCACGGAGGCAGAATGTGGTTGTTGTTGATACTGGGTGACAAAACGGCAAAGATTTGCATTATTGTCCGATCTTTCATGTGGACACATGTCTCTCTCCAGCTATCTGTAACCTCCCTGGTTTTCCCATGCATTCTTGAAATCCTGAGGTAAATTTCTAGGGCCACTGTCACTGCTAAGGTTGAGCTCTGTCCTTGAGAAATGGTTGGAGACTATCTGCGTCCCTCAGAGAAATTTGGAGAAGTTTTTCTATCCAATTTCTCTGCCCATAAATTTGGTGAAGATTTTTGAAAGGCCTTTTATGGCCAGTTCTTGCTACTTCAAACATTCATCATAATGAGTAATTCAACTTTCCTCGTGTTCTCTCAAATAAACGCTATGAAGTCAGCACTATTCCTTGTTGAAGTGCCACATGTTAGGAATAAAAATCCTTGTAACTACTGGGATGGAAACTCCCAGATGGTGTTGGAAACAAAACAGAACACAAGGACGCTGAGAGGACATCAGAATGGTTCTCATCCGGAGAGGATACCCCAGTCCCAAGACCCTTCAGCTTCTGACAAGGGAACATCAAAGAACAGCACCTTATCTGAGATACACCACAGAACATAGAATAACAGAAGGGACCTTGGAAGTCTTCTACTCCAATGCCCTGCTTGAGCAGAAGACCTGATACATTTCAGACAAGTGGCTGTCCAGTCTTTCCTTAAAAGCCTCCGGTGATGGAGCACACACAATTTCTGAAGACAAGGAGTTCCACTGGTCAATTATCCATTGGTTAATTGATGTTGATATCAGGGTGGACTCCTGGTTCCTTTCCCACATTAGTGACCTGAGTGTCAGACCTGGAAGTGTCAGACCTGGGACTTTTTACAATTGGGCCTTCAGGCCTGTCACATTTTTCTATTGTGGGAAACTGGAAGGGGGGGATTGCATGGAGTATGGGTGATATGTAGTCAAAATAACATTCCTTTCTCAGAGAGTCAAGGACGCATTGCCCTGGCACATGGAGTCGGATGACTGGGAGGTGTCTCCAGTTTGGACGGTGGATTATTGGACCATGTGATGGACATATGGGTGCTGGGCAGGGACTTGGACTTTCCTTTGGGTGGAGAAAACCTGGAAACTTTCAGATTCGGGTTTTCCCAGATGTGCCAATATGACATCTCTTATAAAATGTAACTTTGAGGAAACTCAAGCCTCGGAGTTTTCTTTTGTTGGGAGTGTAACTTGGAACCCTGACATTGAGCTGAGACCGAGGGCCCTTCAAGCCCAGCAAGGAAGGAAAATTTGGAGGAGCCTTTTTCCAATGCTCTCTCCACAAGGATTTTGGAGGGAAATAAAGAAGGATTTATAGAATGAAAGAGTAAGGTCAAGAAGACCTTCAGAGACCAACTGCTCAAATTATTTCCAACCTCTGACCCCTCACTGAGAACAATAAATTGGTGGAACTAACCAAAGAGAGAAGCCGCCTAGAACTATGGAGAAATTTCCATACAGCGAGATCAATGAACCAATGAAACAACTTGCCTCCAGAAGTTGTGGGTGCACCATTGTTGGACGTTTTCAAGAAGAGATGGGACAGCCATTTGTCTGAAATGGTAGAGGGTCTCCTGCTTGAGCAGGGGGTTGGACTAAAAGACCTCCAAGGTCCCTTCCAACTCTTTTATTCTGCATTCCTTCAAAATAGCTGTACTCTGTGTACTCCTGTCCAACCATCCTTCCCATGGAGGTGCTCAGAGTTTTTCTCTGTAGCCCTCAACCAGGATCTGCTCCCTTTTTCAAACTCTGCCTTTCTTCTGCTGACTTCTTCCCCCCACCTTCCCTCCTCCAATGGGCTCCTGTTCTGTTCAATTTTGGGAGCGTTTGCCGATAAGACTCCTAAGCCCCTTCACATTATTTTTTTCCAACATTCTGCTGAGTTGGAAAAGAATAAAAACGCAGAGGGTTATTATGTTTGGCTAATAATAAATTAGGAAATGTTTTCTTTGCAAAGTAATGGCATGTTACCCAAAAGACAATTAAAAGCACTTCTGGTATAGAAATTAAGCAATGGCATTTCCCACCCACCCCCTAATGCTCTTTGGAAGTGGGTGATCCAGATGGATCCACAAGTGTATAAAACTTCCGATGTGCCAATATTCAAAAAGTCCTCATTCAACCGTGACAGGCTTTAAGGCCTCCTTTTTCTGCTTCCAGTGGAAATCTGGGCCCTCGTCCCAAAAGAGGAAGTTTTCCTAGGAGCTGCCAGCAGAAGGGACTGTTGCGTATCAAGCAGTGAAGAGTTCCTGAAAGCAATCTGTTGTGAGACAGACAGAGGGATGGAAATGGCTTCTCCCATACTTCTTGGTTGCTCTTCAGGAACCAGGGAAGAGTCGGATGGGTTCAATCATTCATTGTCAATACCCCAAAGACCCCAGACCATGCTACTGAATGGAGCCTAGAAATCATTAGACATTTTAAATTACGTTTTAATTCTTGTGCTTTTTTTCTATTTTCTTTTATTGATTCTATTGTGTCATAAACCCATTTCAATTGTCCTACCTGTATTGGAAAAATGACCATTAGATTAATAATAATAAAGAAGAAGAATGAAAAGACTGCAACTTAAAACCAATTAAAAAAAAAGAAGAAGAAAAGACTGCAACTTAAGAGCCGTGGTGGCGCAGTGGTTAGAGTGCAGTACTGCAGGCTACTTCTGCTGACTGCCGGCTGCCTGCAATTTGGCAGATCAAATCTCACCAGGCTCAAGGTTGACTCAGCCTTCCATTTTTCCAAGGTGGGTAAAATGGGGGCCCAGATTGTTGGGGGCAAAAGGCTGACTCTGTAAACCATTTAGAGAGGGCTACAAAAACACTGTGAAGAAGTATATAAGTCTAAGTGCTATTACTATTGCTATATGTAACAGGCGCCTGTAAATCTATATTTCAAATGCTTCTAGTCTCTTCAAGTGGCTTTCTGTCACAGACCACAGGCTCTCCCCTCTCTGAAGAGTCTCTACTTAGAGAAATGCAATAAATGGAGAAACAGTAGTTAGAGAAACATGAGAAACTATACAATACAAAAAAAAAAAGGAAAAATTCTAACTTTGCTCATTATTCTATTGTGCTAGCCAGGCAAGTGAATGTGTTGCAGAAGGAGCTAAACCCCTTGCAATCTTTCTCTGCAGTCACAAGATTTTTATCCTGGGCAGATCTTCAGCATCTGGGATGGATAGCATTGTTTGGATGGGCCCCTTAAACAGCTCAAACAATGTCTCTCCGGAGCAGCCTGGGTAGGGGAATCAGATCACAAATCTTATCACGATCCTTGGGAAATTACGCTAATCTAATTTAAGTGCCAGCAGGGGTGAAATCCAGCAGGTTCTGACAGGTTCTGGAGAACCGGTAGTGGAAATTTTGAGTAGTTCGGAGAACTGACAGATGCCACCTCTGGCTCGCCCCAGAGTGGGGTGGGAATGGAGATTTTGCAGTATCCTTCCCCTGGAGTAGGGTGGGAATGGAGGTTTTGCAATATCCTTCACCCAGGAGTGGGAAGGGAATGGGGATTTTGCAATATCCTTCTCCTAGAGTGGGGTGGGAATGGAGATTTTGCAATATCCTTCCCCTGGAGTGGGGAGGGGATGGAGATTTTGCAGTATCCTTGCCCTGCCATGCCCACCAAGCTATGCCACACCACACCCACCAAGCCACGCCCACAGAACCGGTAGTAAGAAAATTTGAATTTCACCACTGAGTGCCAGATACCCAGTTGGGCCGACTGTTTTCGAGCGGGATACTCACCTGGAAAGCGGCAAACCACATGAGCCAATCCAGGCGGTAATGGTAGGGGCTGATCAGGCAGGGCCGCCTCTGCAGATTCCCTGGTTTACACTTGAATTCATATTCTTCCCAAACTGCAGCAGGATCATTGGGATCCGAGCTGGAAGTCCCTTGGATTATAACCTCGGTTCTCTCTTTGGTTATGCTGCAAGAGAGAAGATTGTGGTGAATGTTTCAAAGCTCTTGAGGATCCGACCAAGTGGCTTCCAGGGATGGGTTAAGTGCAAGGGCAGAAATATTCCAGTATTTGAGAGGCTGCCACAAAGAAGAGGGGGGTCAAATTATTCTCCAAAGCACCAGAGGGCAGGTCAAGAAATAATGGATGGAAACTAATCAAGGAGAGAAGCAACCTGGAATTAAGGAGAAACTTCCTAACAGTGAGGACAATCAACCAGTGGAATAGCTAGCCTCCAGAAGTCGTGGGCACTCCATCACTGGAGGTTCTTAAGAAGAGACTGGACAATCATTGGTCTGAAATGGTATAGGTCAGTGATGGCTAACCTTTTTGCCATTGTGTGCCAGGACTGGGGGGGGATCACACTCGTGCGTGCCCACACCCATAATTCTATGTGCCCTGCCCCCACGCATGCGTCCCCCTCGCTCCCTCCGCTCCTGGCACGCGATGGCAGAGTAGGCCCGTTTTTTGCTCTCCCCAGCCTCCAGAGCCTTTCTAGGAGTCTGGGGAGGGCAAAAACGGTCTTCTCCACCCCCCGGGAGACCCTCTGGAGGCCAGAAACAGCCCACTTGCCAACTTCCGGTGGGACCGGAAGGCCCGTTTTTTGCTGTCCCCAGCATCCAGACCCTTTCTAGGAGTCTGGGGAGGGTTAACAAACGGGCTGTTTCTGGCTTCCGGAGGGCCTCCGGGGGGTGGGGAAGGCCATTTTTGCCCTCCCCAGACTCCTGCAAAGGGTCTGGAGGCTGGGGAGAGAGAAAAATGAGCCTTCCCCACCCCTGAGGTCCTCTGGAGGCAGGAAACAGCCTGTTTCCCTACTTCTGGTTGGCCCACAAGGCCCAAGAATCAGCTGGCCAGCGCGCGCATGCACGCCGGAACTGAGCTTGCGTGCCACCGATATAGCTACACGTACCACCTGTGGCATGCGTGCCATAGGTTCGCCATCACAGGTATAGGTTCTCCTGCTTGAGCAAGGGGTTGGACTAGAAGACCTCCAAAGTCCCTTCCCGCCTTATTCTATTCTGTTCTGTTGTGTTTTCTGTCCTTTCCTTTCCTGTCCTATCCTATCCTCTATTGTAATTCCCCTTCCCTTCCCTCCCTCCCTTCCTCGCCTCCCCTTCCCTTTCCTTGAGCCAGCATTGATATACGGAAGTCCAACTTTACAACACAGCTTTAGGGGGAGATGAGCAGGGGTGAAATGCTCCCGGTACGGACCGGATCGCCTGATCCGGTAGCGATGGTGGTGGGTGGTTCGAAGAACGGGTAGCAAAAATCCCTCCCCACCCCTATGCCCAGCTGAGCCGCACGGTCATTAGAGGCTTTTTATTTTATTTTTAAAAGCATTTTTTCTACAACCTCTTCGGCCGAAAAAAATGCTTTTAAAAGTAAAAACAAAGCCTCTGCCGATCAGGCAAGTCAGGTGGGATTGTCAGAGACTTTTAAAAGCATTTTTTTACAACCTCTTCAGCCAAAGAGATTGTAGAAAAAATGCTTTTAAAAGTAAAAAAAAAAAAAAAAAAAAGGTTGGCCACGCCCACTGAGTCATATTACCCCCCACCAAGCCACGCCCACAGAACCGCTAGTAACAAATTTTACATTTCACCACTGGAGACGAGTAAGGCTTTCTGGGATCTCAGGAAGGGATGATCCAGCAGAGTCCTTATTAGGTCTCAAGATTACCTAAGGCCTTCACAAAATATTATAACTGAACTATCTACAGGTAGTCCTCAATTTACAACAGTTCATTTAGTGACAGTTCAAAGTTACAACGGTACTGAAAAAAGCGATTCATGACCGCTTTTCAGACTTACGACCGTTGCAGCATCCCCATGGTCACATGATCCAAAATTCAGATGCTGGGCAACTGGTTCATATTTATGACGGTCGCAGTGTCCCTGGGGTCACGTGATCCCCTTTTTGCGACCTTCTGACAAGCAGCCAATGGGGAAGCCAGATTCACTTAACAACCGTGTTACTAATTTAACAACTGCAGTGATTCACATAACAACGGTGGCAAGACAGGTTGTAAAATGAGGCAAAACTCACTTAACGCATGACTCACTTATCCACATAAATTCTGGGCTCAGTTGGGGTTGTAACCTGAGGACTACCCATAGACGTACATACTCAACAAAACTGCAATCACTTATCGGCAGGAACTGTAAGCAATTGCTTGAGGAAAACATGTTCTCGTTCTGTTACAACCGACATGGAGAAATGGTTGCTCTGCCTTTTTTGGACCTCTGCTGAAAACTGTAGGAAGACTGTTAAAAAGATCAGCCAGGGTTACAAATCATCAGGGATTATTTTGCATGAGGCTTTTGCTGCAAGTGCCAAAGTTAAAAGCTGCAGGACCGTCGTCTGCCAGAAATGGCCAAACGTGCTTGAAGCCTGGTTGGCTATGTCAAAAAGGAAGGCATAGATTTAGTTCATATTTGATGGATTGTTTTATATGATCCTTTTCGAGCAGGAGCTCAAGGCAGCAGGCACAGCTCTGCCCTTTGATGTTCTCCACCACAATAACTCTGATGGGGAGGCTGGTCTTGAGAGCGCAGGATGGCCCCAAGTCACCGGGTTGAGGATGGAATCAAACTTGGCCTCCTTAGGATGGAAGGATGGAACCTCTAAGACAGGGGTGTCAAACTCAATTTCATTGAGGGCCACATCAGGGCTGTGGTTGACCTGTGGGGGGGCCTGGGGTGTGTGGCCGACTGGGTGGACGTGGCCAGTATGACGCCACTCACTGGGTGTGGCTGACTGGGTGGGGGTGGCCAGCTTGACACCGCTCCTCAAACTGCTGGCATGTTTCCTCTTTGCAGTGGGTAGACTGGATTGAAGCAACGTGGGCCGGCTCCTTACATTTTCCAGGATGGCCCCGTGGGCGGATCTGACCACATCGCAGGGTGGATCTGGCTCACAGGCCTTTATGTTTGACACTGTTGTGGTCCGCAGGCGGCCTGCGAAGCTGGCATCAGAGTCGGACAGTGAGGAGGTTGGGGAGAAACATGGGCCAGTCCTGGAGTCTAGGGAAGGCTCAGACGAGGGCTCTGTGTCAGTAGCAGAGAGGGGGCCAGAACCATCTGGGAGGTACATGCTGCCTCCGGAGCCTCCAGAGTCGGACATCAAAGAGGCAGAAGAGCAGGAGGAGCCTGTTCCCAATGCGCGCATGCGCAGAGCTGCCAAAAGGCAAGAACAGTTAAGACAAGAGGGACGACTGGGGAGTAAGGCTTGGAGATTATTGGCCCCTTCCATAAGACATAAAGGAGGAGCAAAGGCATGTGAGCCTTTGCAGGAAGCAACATTGTTCATTCTGGTCGGTTTAAATTCTGAAGCTCCGTTTTGACTCTGTGCTCCGTGTGGCCTTGCAAAGCTAATTGCCAATTAGGTCTTTGGCAGCGTGTCAAGGGAGATAAAGGTGGGTGCTTATCAGCCTTATCCCAAAGGACTGTGGCAGACTTCTGTCGGACTCTTTACAAACTATTTATGACTCATTACGGGCTGGGAATGAACAGAATTCACAGCTGTTGAAATAAAAAGAGGGTTTTTGGAACTAATTGTGTGCTTTTTACTGTCTCAGGAAGCCTAGATCAGAACAGACATCCCTGCTCTAAGGTGTTCAGATTCTGTGACTAGGATAGAAGAATGTCTATGACTGGCCACGGCTGAATCCAGATCCAGACTCTGATCTTTTCAACCCAACAGAGAGTTGTGCAAAAGACATAGAACACAGAATAATAGAGAGTTACTTCTATTAGGGACCTTGGAGGTCTTCTAGTCCAACCTTAGAGATCCTCTAGTCCGACCCCCTGCTCGAGCAGGAGACCCTAAATGATTTCTGGCAAATGGTTGTCACTTTTTGAAAGCCTCTATTGATGGAGCACCCACAACTTCTGAAGGCAAGTTTGTTCCATTGGTTAATTGTTCTCACTGTTAGGAAATTTCTCCTTAGTTCTAGGTTGGTTCTCTTCTTGGTTAGTTTCCATCCATTGTTTCTCGTCTTGCCTTCTGGTGCTGTGGAAAATAGCTTGACCCGCTCGTCTTTGTATCTTTGTAGACAATAAAGAGTGCCCATGATGAAGGAATGTTTTACATCTTTCCAGGCAAGGCTTCTTCCACTGCACTCCCTGGAATGCTCTTGTGACCAGAGTGTCAGGATTCCGACAGATGTCCTAATTAATTCATGAGCCTTGAGACAAGTTTCAAAAGAAATCCAGTTATTTATTAGGAGCAACATGTCGACACATACCCAAGTGGAGTCAGCTTTGCCCCACGTAATTTACATCCCAACTGTGACCCTGTTCCCCCCTCCTCCCAGGGTGTGTCATAAATCACATTCTCTAATGGGGCACTTTTGTGGGCTGTAGAGAACACACCTCTCCTGCTGGCTCTGGTAACCTAGGCTGTGGCATAGTTGAGCATGCTTGAGAAAGGTATGTCTGAAATGCGCTTCTGGTTGCGGCCCTGTTGCTCTGTCAGTTTTCTCTCCTCCTGCCTATGGCAACTCAAGATCAGGCCAGGAATGCTTTACGAGTTGACACAGAGATGTTCTCCTGCCCTGAAAAGATCCTTGCCTGTTTGTAAATGGATTTTTTGGTACTGCTCTTTCCCCTTACAAAATACAGTGGCATAGCTCAAAGAGAGAGCAAGAACACAGGTCAGACGCTCTTCAGATATTGAGGGTCTTACCTTCCAAATGCTCCGTACGTGTTGACGATCCTGAGGGGGTTGTAGGAAGTGTTCATGATTTGCCGGGAACTAATCAGGTTGAGAACCACTGGAATGCTGAGGAAGATGATCAGGGCCCCCAAGGCGACATTCACAGCTTTGCGGATGTAGCTCCCTGAGGAGAAAACGAGATGACATCATATTGCCTTCTGTTTTAAGTGGATTAAGTTGCAGAAGAAAACCCTGTAACCATCTGTGTGAATTTCCCTGACACGATACTCAAAAATATGCCCAGAAGAGACAAATGTGCTGCTTTGACCCTAGAAGAAAAAACCCCACAACACACCGTATTGTAAAGAGCCAACTTTCCCTGCCGCCTCTTTGGTTTGAATCTTCAGGACGTGGGTCTTCAGAGATCCTTTGCTGGAACCAAACAAGATCCCCAAGGAGGCGTCATCAAAGCATGCTATGCTGGGCACGATGGTTAACCAGTTGAGGAAGCTCAGATTCCCACTGATGATAAGCAGTACCTAAGAAAGAGGAAGGAAGGAAGGAAGGAAGGAAGGAAGGAAGGAAGGAAGGAAGGAAGGAAGGAAGGAAGGAAGGAAGGAAGGAAAAGTACCAGGTCAGCATTTGAGGGTTACAGACCTTAACACATGAACAACAACCAGCAAGTTTAACTTTAATAGAGCAAACATTGAGCAAAATGATCTGCAGCTCAATGGAAATTTGAGGAAGCAGCAATCTGTAAGAGGATAAACAAAAATATTACATTAGGGCAGGGGTGGGATTCTATCAGTTCGGACCGGTTCGGGAGAACCGGTAGTTCTGACGATCAGCTGGAAGCGAACTGGTTCAACCCGACAATCAGATGGGCCCACCCGCCCGCCTGCGCTATTTTCCTACCTTTATCTTCTCAGCTGATTCGCGTGGTAGAGTGGATTGCCACGCGAATCAGCTGTGTTACTCCTCTGAAGAAACCAGGAAGTGAAGGTTTCTTCAAGCTGAGCATGCGCGAAACGTGCACGAAGCACAAATCGCACGATCACCAAACCAGTTGTTAAACCAAGAGGATCCCACCATTGCATTAGGGTTGAGGATCCTGTGCTGACTGTGTTAATGAGATAAACTATTGAAACAAGCCATAAAAAAAGAGATAGAGAATTCAAGGCCTCCAGATAGCTTCCATCTATCCTCATTTTTTCAGGTTCTTTGACCTGTCCTCTGAAAATCGAGGATAAATCTGTGTTCCCAAGTTATGAAAGCAGCTAGGGAGATCGCTGCTGGTTGATTCCAAGCTGTGGTGTGAGGTATTTTGAGGATAGTGCCCCCAGCCTTAAACAGAGGGGATGGTACAACTCCTCTTCAAGAGACTACCTTGGATCCATAGTTTTAGATAACTGCTGCTCTGTGTTTCACCTTCCTGATTCAGGGAAGGTTGTTCAGATGGTGATCGGACTGTCAACTCTGAATTGAACCTGGCTGAAGCCATCTTGTGCTGCTTCACAGTTGCCACGCACTATGGGGGAAGGATGAGGGGGGAACAGCTAGACCGTCTCGTAGACAAAATAAAGAACTCTCCCATGGGAACCAAGGTCATCCCAACAGGTGGCAGTAGTAGTAGTAGGAGCAGAAGTGGTCGAGGGAGCCCGCCAACTGCTTTGATTGGATAACTGGATTGGATAATTCGTTGTATGGGTATACTGTGTATATACGTACAATGACAATAAACTTTATATTAAAAAAATAATGTGACCTGTGACACCTGAGGAGGGAAACTTTTGCTCATTTAATTACATGGTAACCGCAGGAAACTTTTAGAGTCGGTTTTCACCGGCTGTGCCAATATCATGTGTCCAATAAACATGTTCTCTGTGGAACGTTCCTGTCCTGGAGTTCTGATTTCTTTGGATGCGTTACTCGGAACGCTGACAGGGACTGCATTTATAGAGAATCCCGAAGGAAATGGATTATCCTAGACCAGTGATGACTAACCTTTTTGCCCTTACATGCCAAAAATGGGGGGAGTGCAGGGGGGTTGCACGTGCACATGCCCATACCCATAATTCTATACGCCCTGCCCCACTGCGCATGCACGCACAACTCCTACACGCGACCCCTGCTTTTGGCACATGCTGGCATGGTGGGCCTGTTTTTTCACCCTCCCCAGGCTCCAGAGGCTTTCTAGGAGCCTTGGGAGGGCAAAAACGGCCTTCTCCACACACACACACACACACACACCAAGGCAGGAAACTAACCCCATTTGCCAACTTCTGGTGGGCCCAGAAGGCCCGAAAATCAGCTGACCGGCACGTGCATGCACGCCTGAGCTGAGCTCACGTGCCCACCGATATGGCTCCATGTGCCACCTGTGGCACATAGGTTCGCCATCACGGCCCTAGACAGTCACTTATCTGAAATAGTATATGTTCTCCTGCTTGAGCAGAGGGCTGGAGTTAGACCTCCAAGGTCCCTTCCAGCTCATTCACTCATTCATTCAAAGAGTCCAGTTCCTTGACCATTTCATTTTAAACGCCAAAATGATAAGGATGCTAATGTTCCTAATATTCCTTAATTACAGTAGCCACTTTTTCTAAGAAAGCCCGCTTCGCTTAACTCCTTTCATTTCCACAAAAACCACCTTTTGCTCTGCAAACCTGAAGAACATCATTCTTTAGTGGCTGCTCTGAGAAAGAAGCACATCGCAGCTTTTCAACGCAGCAACTGGGTGGTCGGCTGCCCCTCACCCCCAGCCCTCTGGGGTAACAGTGCCCCTCCCCTTCTAACCTGGAAGCCAGAAACACAAGACTCTTATTTTATCAGCTGTCAAAATAATAATAATAATAAAATAAAATGGAAAGGCTCAAAAAGTAATTACAGATCTAATTTGACTGTGGGTGGACTTATGGACCTGGGAAGCACATGTTGTTTAGCCTGATGTAGGCAGGTCTTTCAAGCAGCTACCGAAGCAGCAGAAGAATGCTTGGGGAAATATCTATGGAGATTCTCGGTCATCCAGGTCATGGTTGTCTCAAAGGTGCTTTTCCAAAAGGACTTTCTTTGTTTTTCCTTGAAGACGTTTCGCTTCTCATCCAAGAAGCTTCTTCGGTTTCTGAATGAATTGTGGATAATTCTACCAGAACTTAATGACCAAAAAACTGAAGAACTAAGCTATGGTTTGTTTTATTGAACAAGCCACTATTAGTCTATGGCAGGGGTCTGCAACCTTAAACACTCAAAGAGCCATTTGGATACATTTCCCACAGAAAGGAAAACACTGGGAGCCACAAAACCCTTCCCGTGCCTGACTGTTTCTCTATGTACCATGTTCTATGTCTGGGGACGGCAGTTGTCTAAGGGAGCAAAATGCCCATACCACCATCCTGGGGCCATCTCAATACTTTCATTCTAGAATTCACTGGTTTTGTTGCATTCTGTTCTGCACTGGTCAGATCCCACATGCTGGACATCTCCATCATTTAAACAAACTGGAAGACTGTCAGAGAAAAGCAATGAGGAAGATTTGGTCTGGAAACTGGCACTGAGAAGCTAGAGAAGACCAAGCAATATGGCGGCACTTTTGAAGATACTGAAGAAATCGACTTCTTCTTTGTCTTCCAAGCTTATGAGATGCAGCCTAACCATCTGAGGTTACCAGAAGGCAGATTATGGCTGAGTGTTAAGACGCTAGGAAAAAACATCTGAGTAGTAACTCAGTAGAAGTTCAACTGGGAACAAATTTTCCAGAGAAACAGTGGGCTCCTCATTGCTGGATCTGCTGAAACAGGAGCTATGGCCAGCTCCAAGGGATGATTTGCATGTGGATTCCTGCATGAAACAGCGATTTCCTGTTCCTTGCCCCAAAAAGGCATTTTGAATGATGAGACAGGAAAGAGAGAAAAAGAGGAAAAAACGGATTGAGGAAAAAAAGGGCTTCAAAACTCCAGCCCTAATGTTGTTGCATTCTGAAGAGTTTCCAAAAGTAATTTAAGATGATGATGGACTGCAGAAAGTTTGGAGAGAGGGAAGTACTTCCAGACAAAAAAAAACACATTCTCACTTTCATTCTTGCTCATCTCCTTATGAGGTACATTGATACATTGCTAAAGTCAGTTCTAGGAATCTAGGAAGAAGAAGAAGGAGGAGGAGGAGGGGGGGGGGTTATTGCCTTATCAAAGGTAGAGTTCTTCACCCAAATTCAGCACTTGAGTTTCAAGTTCCCACCTTTGGCTGTCCACACCACCTCTCAGCATCTTTTTCTCTGAACTGTGCTAAAATACTGGTTTCAAGAAATCCCCAAAGTGTCAATATGTAAAGGAAGACAATCAATAGAAACCACATAGTTCTTTGGAAAGGAGAAAATTCCATCTCAGAGAAAATTCTCTGTGGATTTCGTGTCTCAGGCAAAGTTTTCCTTCTTGGCAAACCACAGAAATTGGGTGCAGAATGTTGGCATCCATTTTTCTAGAGGGACTCTATTTCCCTACTTTTTTTTTTTATTTGATTTATATGCCGCCCTTCTCCGAAGACTCAGGGCGGCTTACAGTGCGTTAAGCAATAGCCTTCATACTTTTGTATATTTTATACAAAGTCAGCTTATTGCCCCCACAATCCGGGTCCTCATTTTATCTACCTTAGAAAGGATGGAAGGCTGAGTCAATCTTGGAATGAACATTACTTGGACCATTGCAACAAGGAGTAATTAGGCCATGTCTACTACGTTAGGTCCCATCTTTCTCTCAGGGACTAGTATTCTAGTATGAATGCTGGTTCAATATATTTTAAAACCATTTTATTTTCCAGTGCATTTTCAATCTGCCCTTGATTCAAAATAGGATGTGCGCACATTAAATGATGTAATATAGAAATGCAACATTGCAATGTGAGTTGGCAAAACTTCCCATTTGGCCCAAATTATAAGGGCCTCAAAGGTTCTGAATTTTCAGCTAACTTGCAAGCTTTTCAGATTTTGCACCTAAATCACGCAAATTTCAGATGCAAGTGTCATGAGGTTGAGCAGTCTTGCAAGATTTTGACTTTACTTAATGGAATGTAATTGTTGAGTCTGGGGAATTACTGGAAACCACCAAGGGGCACTTAAGAGTAAATCAAGAGAGCAACGAACAGCAAAAGGATATAGTTGTCAGTGGTTTTCCCAAGATTAAGAACAGGTAAAAATACTTATGGTTTGAAGCAAGTAAGACAGAATTTGAAATTATCTAGAATGTATAAAGGCATTCCAAATGCATGCTGGAAATGGGAACAATAGGAAGAGACATTCAATCATGCTTGGTCTGCATGTAAAAAAAAAAGCTAAAAAATGGCAGAAGTAAATAATAGATTTGTTGCAAAAGCATTGGGTGATGGGTATGAGTATGCGTGTATAAAAATTGTCAAAATGGTAGACATAGGGAAGTGACTTTGTGATGCCACAACTACATTTTTTCAAATTTAAATTCAGAATAGAGCTGGAAGGCACATAGGAGGTTTTCTCATCCAATCTCCTGCTGAAGCAGGAGAACCTATACAA